TTCTCTCGGCAAAGCGAGGATCGATGCTGGCCTGCCCGTGCTCCCTATCCAAAGACAGAAAGCGAGGAAGGACAAATGCTCACCGCTGAGTGATGTGCAAGCACCAAGACATCTAGCTTACCTGTAAACACACATGCGTCAGTACTCCTCACAGGAAGCAAATAGGTTGACAAACGTAGACAGATACCAGGCCGAGAAACTCATGCAGAGATGCCTGCACCCACATAAAACTTAAACAATCGATACAGCTGGAACAGATAGCCTTGGAAATAAGAGCAACAAGCAAAATATAACTACACAGCTACCCACCTGTGAGTTGTGTGTGCTACACATTGCCATAGTGATAAATATGTCCCAGCTTGCAGCCCCAGGGAGGCATTGAACTCTAGCCCCTCTATAATGACTTTGTCTACCTATCGATCCAGACATGATCCATGTACTGTAATTCTTATATCATCAGGCCCGGCCCCAGCAATAACTCCAAGTCATATTTCGGGGCCTCCCATCCACTTGACAACTTAATGATGCAAGGGTCCTTGCCGAGTTTGGACTTTTAGCTCCCCAGCACACCTCTCCCTCTCTCTTCCTCCTGCAGGGCTCTAATTTCCTTCCTTGTTCTTTCAGACTAATATCAGCAAAGGCACCGAGTGGCTGCTCTCTCTGAGGACTTCCCTCTCTGAACCACATATCGTCTCCTTTTCACCTCTGTGCACTTGCAGTATAGCACAGGGTTGGTGTCTGACTGCTGTGCATCTGTCTCTGATTTGGAGCACAGCCCCTTTCAGGCTCCTGGGGAGACTCAGCTGTCCCTCTTTAGACCCTGTTCTTTTTCTCCCTTTGAGCCAAGGCTATATTTCATTGTCATTTCAGCCCTCTCTTTCTAGCCTGGGTGTAATAGCGGGAGATATATGAGGCTTGTTTCTGCAGCCTTCTGAGCTTCCTCAGCCTTTTATAAAACACTGTCAGAGTGACAAAACAGCAGCCCTTGGGTATTCGGGCACAGATGCCCCCTTATCCTGAAGCAATTTCTCAATATCCTGAGCTGATCCTTTTAGTAAAGAGATAACATCTGGGTCCTTGGACAGGATGAGTTGGAATAGTCATCCTGGACAGAGTCGTAGCTCATCGGTATAGCTCTGTCTGCTTATACGCCATGGGCTGTCTGTCAGTTCTGTTTTTATAAGCACTGATTTAGGGTGCAGCCCTTGAATCCTGGGCCAACAGGAAACCACGGGAGCATGCGGCGCCCCTGATAGGAGGTTAAAGCGAGAATTTATCCAGTTATTTTTTATTCTAATGCTGTGTCGGGTTATGTTCATTACTGTCGCCGTTAGAAAAACTCTAATGATGTTCCACCTGGCTGCAAAGACACAAAACAACGCTGTACCTGTGAGACACGGCCCTGATTGAGATGTGAATAAAATCGAGGAGAAGAAGATGAGAGGGAGCAGATGGGGTCTGCAGGCAATTAATGCTGCATGTTGTGTTGTTATTCTTCCACTTTGTTCCTGTCCCTCACCCCATCCTTAGTGACAGCTATCCTCTTTATATGCCACCGCATCTACAGAATTTCTCCTTCCCGTCAGTTCTACCCATCCCTACTGTTTTTTTTAACTTCTTCTCATCTCCATTGCAGTCTTCCCTCCTCCCATCTTTAGCTTCCCTCCTTCCTCACATTCACGAGGCGCACAGTCTCTGTCTCCTCTCTCCCGCGCTCTACCACCACCACCACCCCCAGCCTTAATTGGGAGTCAGGGAGAGCAGTGGAAATCGCATTAACGCGGGCCCTGCCTGGGTGTGCCATCCATCTTCTTTTTTATTACGCCGCGCCGGGGCTGCTTGGGCGCTGCCGTTCGATTTGTCACCGGCCTCGTTCGCTGATAACAGGCATTTGTCATCGCCTTGCCTCCCTGTTAATGTTATCATCTCCTCCCTGACAGCCGCCCTCCGCCGGGGAGCGCCGGCGACAAAGCACATCCGTCAAGCGAATATTTCCACGGCTAAGGGGACCGCACACTGCAATAAGCCACATTAAAGCACTTATGAAGGGTGCAGGCCGAGTGTGTACGTGTGTGCGCTTGTGTGCGAGTCTATGTACCGGTGCCATAGTGCGCGTTGCATTGTGCGCTGCGTGCGCATACACATCTGCACACACACGTGCGCAGGAGCGTGCGCTCTTGTCAGTGCCGTAAAAAAAGTGAGGTGGGGGCCGACAGGGAGAGGAAGAGGTAATTTGTTGCAATTAATTACGCAGTGAGTGTGGCTTTGTTGTGTAGGAGAGCATTTTATCTGTTGGAATGCTTTCTTCGCCAGGCTGTGATGCTATTTGTTTGATTTATAGCTTCTGCCAGCCCGAGGCGGAGCGAGCCTGCGTGTAAGTGTGTGTTTTCACATGTGCACAATGCTTTGGCATTATCCACAGAAATATACTGTAGTCTCGGTGACAAGGAGCCCTTTGTTTGAAAGTGACATTACGTATGAACAGCCATGCTGCCCCTACTTGTGCCTCTCTGCAAGACCGAAACGCTTCTGTCCATTCAGCAGCAAATCAACAACGCCAAAGCCTGACCTTCCATCACAGTTTGCCTCACTTTTCCTTCCGCTTTTGTGAGTAAAGAAGACATGTTTTAAAGTGCTGTGAGTATTCTACCAATCCTACAGTGATATGATGATGTTTCCAACATTGGCACGGTCCACCCCTCTTCTCTCATCTGTGATATCAAAACAGGCATTTGACATTGTGTATCCATTCTGCCTCAGCTGGGGGTTGCAGGGCCTGACAGATGGATCAGCCAGCCTCAAGGCAGAGGGAAGAGATGAGCGAAAGAAAAGCAGTGCTCCCCATCTCTCAATATACTGTATGATTCCCAAATATGCCATAGCATGTCATATGGTATGGCAAATGTTCGACCCTCGCAGAGAAAAATAGTCAATGATGGCACTAACACACTGAGAGGTACATCTGAGCAACATTTTACCAAAGCTTCTTCACGCTATGATCACACAGTTTGAGATGAACGACTAAAGTAGACCAGGGGTGTCAAACTCAAATACACAGTGGGCCAAAATTCAAAACTTTAACATAGTCGCGGGCTAACGTTAATATTTATTGAAATATATTTATTGAAATATATTTATTCCTCCAGATATAAGAATGAATCTTTTCTTATGGACTCAAACACGTTTTGCTGAAAAACTGAATATGGAACAAGCAAATCTTAATACTAAACAATATATATATTAGCTGTATAATACCAGTAGGCCAGCTCTAATAGTAATTTGGTATGGCTTCGCGGGCCAGATGTAATTAGGCTGCGGGCCAAATTTGGCCCGCGGGCCAGACTTTGACACCTATGAAGTAGACCGTCATAACTTAGTAACACTTTAGTAACATTTTAATTGACACACTTTGCGCAGAATGGCGGAACCAGAGGTAGATAATAAAACACTTTGTTTGATTTACAATGTCATAACAACATTTTGACTAATACATGCTGCCTCCGTGTCATTAGCCAGAGATCACTTTTTATTTTAATTAACTAAATCTGAGGTTGACTCCAAAAGAGAGTCAGTCACCACAGACACCTGTGTTAGCACATGCAGTATTAGAGTAAAACTAACAAAATAAAATATTTGTTCTTGCTTATTAATTTACCCATTGAGAAAAAACAGCAATAGCTGGTAGCTGTCTGCAGACATATGATCTAATTCGAGTCATCAAACTTGACCTCTTTGTTATGTTTGTGGTTTCAGACCTCTTAGAGCTCTTGCTTTGCAGGTAATTTTACTCTAGTCTGTACTCCAAATTTTATTGAGTAAAATTATAGTATTTCACAATTATCCTTAATTAACAACTATCTGTAATTTACCCATAGAGCCTGTGAATGCATGTCGCTAACTAAACTTGCTAGCATTACCAAAACATTAATTTTAATAACTACATACCATCTGCAGGAGAAACACCAGCCAAATTTGACAGCTATTAACATTTTTCTTAACAGCTTATATCTGTGAAACACTTGTAAAGTAAGTAAGGTCTGTTTATTTGCCCTTCAGTTATAAAAATCTTCCTTAGTGCATGCAGTACTGTAGTATGTTTTTTTACTGAGCACTTGTTGCCCATATTGAGCAGTTAGATGCCTGCTGTGTACGACAGTCTCCCTGTTGATAAAAAATGATGTTATTTGATGAAATTAGATCTGCAACTAAATAGACCTTGGGTGACAATGTTTTCTAAACTGCTATTACAAAGCCAAGAATGATACTGTGAACCTTACTGTTGAATGATTTATTTGCTAATAAAGCTCCTTTCAGCTGCTACTTTATTAACACGTGGTCGCCAAAGTGGATAGCTATGCATTTTTTTGATTTGGCAGATTGTTGCACCGGAGGCCTCTCCTGATGCAGTCTCAAAGGGATTTTTGTCTCCTCACGGGATAAAACCAGGGTGTCTTTACTTGTTAGGCAGATCTGTAAACCACTAAATTCTAGAGATAATGAATGATTTATTAACTAGTAACAAGAATCAGAATAATCCTGCCTTTAATAAAGCTTTAACTTACTGGGCAGCATTTACCTGCCTTTCAGGCCAAAGTTTGAGTTCTGTTGTTGCCCTTTGGTGTGAATAGCTCCTTTTGCAACATTTTTCCATTATGTCAGTGTTGGGAATGATTTTGGTTGCAGTTTGAAAATCTCCGTTTTATTTGTGTATTATTTTCATAATTCATTTTTGTTCGTGCTGTAATTGCAAGTGTTGTTGTGTTAGCTTTATGGTAGTTTTGGTGAGACGCAATGATGCCACACAATATTTCTCTTGATTTTAATTTTCTAAGTGTGCATCACATCAGCTCAATGAATGTGAAGCAAATATAGCCCCCAAAAGAAGTCAAAGTATTGTGCTAACTCAGAGGTGCTGCTTAGGGCTTGATGTTAAAGTAGAAATGCAGTTCTGAGTTTATGAATGGAATTTGTTCATATTAATGTTTTGTATGTTTGCTTGTTATTATAGGCAAAAAACAAAGAACAAACGGACAAAAGAAATTCAGGGTCAGATGTATTTTTGTGTCTTGTAAATGATAAAGCATTAAAAATTGACTGAGCAATCTTGTGCAGCTACTATACAAGATTCTTCAGCGGTATACTAACTAATTACTCTATATAAAGTTTGCATGCATGTGTATTTGGAAGAGGATGTGTTTGTGCTGTGATCTCTGAACTTGACAAGGCCAAGGTCTGTTAACTTCTTGTTAGTGATCATGATCGACTACAGCTGGGAGTTTCTCTTCGCCACTATAAAAAGGATTTGTTTGACAGCATTCATTGGATTGACCGATATTCAGAACAACGGCAAAGTCAAAGGAATTTGGAGATGATCCAAAACTGACACCTTCAAGCTCGATTAAAATATGTAGCTGCCTACACGGACAAGCCAAATGCCTTCTGGAGAAAAGTTTTATGGCTAGATTAGACAAAGACTGAGCAATTTGGCCAAAAGAGGTGTGCTTGGAGGAGCAAAGGTGAGGCTTTCAAAGTCTAAGAACACTTCACCAACTGTAAGTGTGGTGGTGGTAGCATCATGCTCAGAAGCTGTTTTGCTGTCAGTAGTACTGGTACCTTGCACAAAGTGGACGGGATAATGAAGAACTACTGTCAAATTCTTCAGTGAAAACTTTGATACAGTTGGGTGTTTCAACAGGACAATGATCCCAAACATACATTAAAACTGGTTTTGGAATGGATACAGGACGCTAACATTAAGCTTCTGGAATAGCCTTCCCAAAGCCCCCACCTCCTCCATAGACTATGGTTAAAAGCCATTACCACATCAAGAAACCAGTTTAAATTAAATCTACCACACAAGAAGAAAGATCAAATGTCCAGTAGGAGTTATGACAGAAGCATAATTCTGGTTACCAAAGGCATCTACAAAAGGTCCAACCCACTAAAGGACGTTTAATCAAATATTAGTGGGGATATATGTATATTTATGAGTCTGTATGCATACTTTTAATTCTGAGTGGATTTTAAAAAATACAACATGAATTCACAACTGTGTCCCCAGTTCATATTTTCTAAAAGCATTAAAAATGTTTGCCATACAATCATTCCAACCTTAAAAAAAGAACAATTCAAAGGAGTCATTAAAAGTCCAAAATTACCATGACATTCATGCCCATGATGAGTATGTAAACTTCTGACCATAACTGTATGCAGTGACAATTTGCACGAAGCAGCTGATCTGACAGTTCCTCGTCTGTATCACTGACAGTGTTGGTTGAGCTCCTATTCAACTGGCTGAATTCCTATTTTTTGTCATGGAAGTCGAGGGTTCCATAGCCGTTCATCAGAGCCATTTTTAGTTCACTATTTGGATACAGCTCTTCTTCACAGATCTCATTCTTGGTGGCAAACATCTGGCTGATCTCCAAGAAAGTTTTGTTCTTGGTCTCTGGAATGATGAAGAAAGTGTAGATAGCCACTCCCAAGCAGACCACACAGAAGATCAGGTAACAGAAAGGACCTGTAGCAATCTGGGGTGGAAGGACACAAAAAAATAAAAATGCACAGTTAAAGACACAAAACACTCTGGGTTTTTGGAAGATCATTACAATAGATTAACATAAACACAATGCAAACCACGACAAGAGAACATGAAAGGTAGATTATTGGTTTTGTTGGCTTAAAGGTTAACGTTAGCATTAATAGCATTAGCATTAACATAGCAAACTTTTAAGGCAAGTACTTCCCTTTTTTTAAAGCTGTAAATGATCTACTGGGTTTCCAAACTAGCCAGGGGCTTTTTTTTATTGCCCTTATTGCCATTATTTTTGCTGGAAAAGACAGTAAGATAAGTAACAAAACAGTGATGTTTTGCAGCAGGGGAAATGTTTTGGTATAAACTCTAAGGATTAGCTTTCCTAAAGGTAGGCTACAAAACAGAAAAAACACAGGACAGGGTGTTTAGCCTAGCTTATCCCAGAGACTAGAGGAAGACGGTACCTGCTAGCCTGAAGACTAAAAACACTTTCTGAGAGCAATGAAGTTATTTTGCTTCATGTGGAATAAAAACAGAAAGATTAAGGAACATGCAATCTCATATTTTAAGATCTGTGGCCAGACTAATTACTGACTGCCTCGGTCACTGTCATCTTAACAATTAATTGTCCTCTTTACTTTGTAGCTGTTCACTTGGAACGAAGCCGAGGACAATGACAGACAGCAAGGTCGGGACTTTTAATTGGAAATGTTATTGGTATTTGTGGAGTCACTTCTGTTCAGACAAAAGTGCACAGCCAGTCATATACACACAGCAGATCTGCATCAAATGTCAAGACTACACATGTACAAAAAAATAAAAATAAAATAGAAATAAAGCCTTTTTACATGTTTTTTCACTATAAACTGGACAGTATTTTTAGATGGCTTTTGTGTACATTTGAATTTGGCTCTGTGGGATAGAAGTCAGTGCTGACCTCTAAGAAGGGAAAGACAAAACCAATGGTGAAGTTGGACATCCAGTTGAGGCAACCAGCCACGGTGTACGCAGCCGGTCGATGAGACTGCTTAAACAGCTCCGCAGTGATCAGGAAAGGCACACCCGCTGTAAAGAATACACAAAAACATATTTGTCTTATTCCAAAAATATTCCCAACAACACCACACGAAGACAGCTTAATCTAACTAAGCATCCTGTTATAACACAAATCACATTTAATTACTTAGTATGGCTATATGAATCTATTGGGTGATGTGAAATTAACATCGGCATCTTAGTTCATCAATTACTTTATCAATACTCCCACTCAGGACTCTTCCTTGGCAGTTACTCAAAATTAACAGAAGATGATTAATGATAAACATTTCACAAGCCCAAGTGCTATTATATTACACTCCTTTTTCTACATGTACTTCATTATGTGTTCATTATTACTCACTAATCATAGACTGACAAGAGAGGAAGGTGTTTGTCAAGATGGCAAAACTCCACTTCTGAACCACAAGACACAGAATAGCTTAGCTCATGCAATTCATTAGTTTAAGATGTGCCTTAACTTTAAACATGTGATTCTTCATTGTTAGAAGTGAAGGCTATGAAGGAGAAATATGCATTAGTATAAGCTCTAATGATTAGCTTTCCGAATAATGTGCTCATTATTCTGTGCATGATAACTGCAGAGAGAAAAGTTTAATATTGTCAAACCAATAACTACACCATAATTTGTCAACATCTGCGGTATATATGGGAGGGCATCAATGTGCAAGCAAGGTTTCATTTGAAGGAAACCATATTCATCACAGCTAGCTTATGAACAATGAGCCATTAGAAGTCTAATTGCAGCAAGAGAAATCCTTGTTTGCTGAGGTATAGATTTTGCCTGTTTGACGAATGACGTTATGTAAACCAGATTTGTCCTAATCCATCATCCTCGCAGGTTCGCTCGACGTGGCTCTCATCGTTGTAAACTATTGCCTCTTAATTCACTTCACTCATCTCATCCAGTGTACAAATGGCTGTGAGAATGGAAGCAGTGTGGCAGTTAGGATTTCCTAATTTACAAGACTAATGAAATACAATATCTCCTCACAGCCAGAGGAGGAGTGTGGAGGATGGGGGTGCTGATGTTTTAAAGCTTTAATGCCTGCTATTGCGCAAGTTTCCAGCAGGGTGCAGTGTTTCCTCATACACAGGATTACTTCTAGCTAATGCAATCACATGTAGGTTTGAAAGTGTTGGAAAGTTTTCATGCCAGACACAGATACAAGATTGTTATTTTGTTTTTTTTTACCTGGACCTATGCAGAAGCCAGCAATAATCCCAATAACACAGCCCACACTGATGTAGCGCATGTAGGACAACTGCGGCTGTGATTGGTCAAACACAAGTCATGAGTTGCAGATGGTCACACGCAGTTTTTTTATTATTATTATTAATTTATATGATGACTTCAGATGGAAAAATCTCTAAGCCTATCTGACATTTTATTTTGTTTTAAATATTGCGTCAGTGTCCTATGTTCAGCTTCAGTGAGTTTACTTTAACAGCAGTGAAATGGTCACTGAATGAAATGTCTTACACTGGTTTTTAACAAATTCGATAGTCTTTTGCAGCAAAACCTGCTTTGCATTTGTGCATCATCCTTTGTGCAGTCCACCTCGTTGGATGAGACATAGGAAATAGTTGCTAAACATGCAACTGAAAACAGTCTTACAAATAAGTGTGTTTTGACTGGTGTTCCTGTGGACATGGTAGCTTTTAGTGGCATTTAGAGGTTTCTGCTAACAAACCATGTTTGGAAAGAGGCTTTGAAGTGAAGCTTTCACCTGATATCATTTTCTCATTTTTCACAGAGGGTGTCACTTAGAGGCTTTTGCATCTGAAGACATACAATAATTTATGTAAATTATGTAAATTTGGTTATGTCCTAAGCTCCATGTAATGTACTATAATGTCATGCAAAAAATATTCCTAAACCAGCAGGATATCAGATGACATGTACCTGGAAGAGGACAGACACAGTGATTCCGGCACAGCACAGTCCCATAAAAAGGAAACCACCAATCATCAGTGGTCTTCTGCCCAGACGCTCAATAGTGAAACACTAAATAATGGACAAATAAGCAGGACTACATGTGACTAACCCATAAAAATAGATATTTTACAAAAAATTCTAACAAAAAGTTAGTTGCAATTATACAAATCTTTCGTTTGCCATGCTACCTATGCCTATATATATCTATATCTACATATCTATTTTTAATAGAGTATAACATGACCCTGTGCACGCTACAGAATAAATGACCTTCATTAGGTTTCAGCTCACCTTCCCCTAATCAGATTTTATGCAAGCATCACCAAGACAACAGAAAACACAAACTGAAACAATCAAATTAAAGAAAACAGACTGTGCATGACTACATGTCATAACCAAAATAACCAAAGTCATTATTTCTTTTAAGTATTTTAGGTAAAAAGTTACATGTTTATCAGAAGGGAAGGCATTTGTTTTTCCCAGTTTCTCTTTTTCTTGTGGATCAAGACTGAAATTACCATCAGTCATACAAGGCACAGATTTATTGCAACCCCAAGTGCTTCATGGTTAATTAATCTGCTAATTCTATTTTCCGTTTAGCAACCATTAAATCCATAACAAAACAAAAAATGCAATTTTTATGTCAAGTTCACAATATACTTAATTCTGTTGTATATTTTTGCTTTAACACTGGTCAAACAGAGCTCAGACCAGGAAAACAGCAGCACACTATCACATCTGTGTTCCAACGTTACAAGTCCAAAATATAAAAAATCCTTGTATAATAGAAATACATTCATTTCATCTTAATGTGTGTGTGTCTACTCACCCCCAGCATCCCTGAGATGACCTCAATGGCCCCAGTTCCCACTGTTGTGTACTGAATATAAGGGTCAGCGATTCCTGCATTCCTAAAAATATCATTTGTATAGAACCAGATCTGAAATTGACACAAGGTTTATTGATATGTTGAATCCTTTGGACTATTGATACAGCAGAAATCAAAGTTTGCCTTATTTTCTTAAGGAGCCAAAAAGTCACTCTGCCTATCTGGTAACGCACACGATTCATCATAGCGATCATTATCACAAGGCCGACCATCACTCATGCATTTGAGATACAGCTTTTCATCAGTATGGACTCCTGACAAGTACTCCCCTTGAAATTAATTTGCGCATTCTCATTAATCACACTTTGCTGATACAACATCCATCATTGATGATGTGCGGACAAGATCGTGATCAGTGCAGTTAAATGCTGTCTTGTTGATTTAGTAACCATACATATAACATTTCATCACCATTGGAGGCTTGAAGTATGCAAACAGACGAGCAAAGCAGAAGGCCTGCACAAGCACAAACAATTCCAGAAACTTAAACAACTGGGATAAGATTTGATGAAGATAAATATAAGCTGCTAGGCTAAAACGCCTCCTTACTGAGCTAAAATCTCCTCTAATATAAGAATTGTGTTATATGAGTTGATTCATATATTTTGTTTTACGCACATGAGCACTAAAGTGCAAGCCAGTAACACTGCAGTGGTGTCAGAGTGCTAAGCAAAGTAGCCATGGCTCATTTCACTCTGGAGCTTTTTTCAGCTTTTTCAGGCCAAACTGTTTGTTTAACAGAAGTAGCCTCATCTAATCACAGAATTTCAAAAGTGTTCTTGGATTATTTAGCTCATCTAATCTGACATGCCTCAGTGTGTAAACCCAACCCAGATTTACACAATGAGGTATGTACAGTTAAAGTAGGAAAAGTTAAGTAGGAGAGAATCACAGTCTTAAAATGACCTAATCTCTGGGCTTACTCAAAGCTACAATGCCAACTATACTACTTCAGTATTACCAAAACAAGCATCTGTCTTGAGAAACTGTCCTTGAGAAGACAGATGCTGATAACATAATAGTTTAATGGCAACTTCTACTTTATACAACCTAGTTCAGGAAACCGTTCATTGAGCACATTTGTGTCAAATGTCCAGGCGCCTTACACCTCCACATTACAAAAAGTGGATAAAACCTGGTTCACTTTGTGTGTGTGTTGATCCTAAACAGATGCAGGTAGCCTCAGCACACGTCTGAACTTACTCTACCTTAAGAAAAAACAACCAAAGAGCGTAATCCTCATTATCTGTTTTATTACAGCGTTCTTGTTTGGAACTGATTGCGCTCATGCTGAATTATCCACTACAACCAGTACAAAGACACTGAATATCATTCATTACATACATACATACATACATACATACATCCATTCACTTCCGCTTCTCCTTTTCAGGGTCGCGGGGGGCGCTGGAGCCTATCCAGGGGTACACCCTGGACAGGTCGCCAGTCTGTCGCAGGGCCAACACACAGGGACAGACAACCATTCACGCTCACATTAACTCGCACATTCACACCTAATGGCAATTTGGATTTTCCAATTAACCTATCCCCACAAGCTGCATGTCTTTGGACGGTGGGAGGAAGCCGGAGTACCCGGAGGGAACCCACACAAACACGGGGAGAACATGCAAACTCCACACAGAAAGACCCCGGCCTGATGGTGGACTTGAACTCAGGACCTTCTTGCTGTGTGGCAACAGTGCTAACCACCGTGCTGCCAATTTTACATTTTCATTACATACATCTGGAAAATATTTTTATAATAAATTTAACTTTATGAATTTAGTTATGCATTTATTTGTCCCTTCTTTTCCTTCTTCATGATTTATCCATGATTTCACTTCTTTATGATTATGAATATGTAGTCGATGCTTTGTCGTATTCTCTTGCTTCGTGTAGAAGAGGAAGAACGAAAACAAAGCAAGAGCAGCAACAAAATAATAGCGGGGCTGCCACTTTATGATGTGAATGACAGTACAGCTACAGTAGTACTTGCAGAAGAAATAGCTCTTTCATCATTTTTCCTAGGTTGAGTGGCTCCCCAGCTGGCTGTAATAACTCTACAAAATCAGCACCACAAATACTGTAAAAGCACCATGTTGTAACATGTTGAATAATATCTGTTTGTGCACAAACTCAGTCTGTATGAATATGATTATAAGTATCCAATATTTTAAGAAAAAAACATGCACATTTACTTTTCAAACTCTCTTGAATTGCTTCGTTCTACTTTTCGTGTCTCAGATTTGGAGACACTACTTCTTCTGGAGGTTTGAAGCCTTCCAGTGTTCCTGGCTGGAACAGCTGGGACTGAGAGACTCAGTGGGGTGCACCCCTGCTGCGAAATGGCACTAGCATATGAGCCTGCATGCCTGGAGCCTCCATCCATATGAAGCAATGAGTACAAAGATGTGTTTGACTTTGTGTTCGGATGGGTGGACCTTGTTATGTGAGGTAACGCTGAGGGAGAGCACCAGGAGATAATGAGGCATGGTCCCATCGCCCCCTGCTTAGTCATTCAGTGGGTGTGAGACTGTGATGTATGGATGGACGGGAGAAGCCCAGCTGGGAACTCTCGCACTATAAGATCTCCCTCTCATATAATAACTGCACAGTTGTTGCACATTCAAAATGTGACAACACACACACATATAAACAAAAGATGAAAAAGGCAACACAATAGTTCTCCTACTCACGGCATCAATCCCAGACAGCTGCATGCCGATGTTGACCACCGCAACAGTGAGGACCTGCCAGCGGACGCAGCTGTCCATGAGGAGGCTGCAGACAGAGAGGGTCTGCATGGAGGACAAAGAGCGTTGCTCCTCCTGCATCTCTTCAACCTCAGCCTGAATGTTTCCTTTAGTACGGAACCACTTTAGGGCTACAGAACGGAGTGAAACATGAGTCTTTTTTTTAAAAACTGCTTTAATTCATCCTTCAAGTATCACAGTGAAAGGATTATGTAAAGTTTGAGAATCTGTTCTAGGCGTCTTGATCTTCCTTTGTAATTTCTACATTCAGAAAAGGAAAGCAGGAAATGCACTTTTTAACCTGCAATGGTGGCATGCACATCTCCTCTCTCTATTAGCAGATATCGTGGACTCTCTGGAAACCATGGCAACAGTATCAGCTGGACCATGGTAGGAACCGCCACAAGAGACAAAAGCAGAGGCCAGTGCTCTTCCTGTGTGGGGAAAAAACAACAAAAAAACCAAACACCTCACCTAAACCTTGATTTAAAAAAATAATAATATCATCATCTAAAACTATTCATTCCATCTTTACCATATTTGTCTTTATACCTATATTTAGCTATTCCATAAGTAAACATAGGGTGTCTTGAAGCTTTTTCTGGCTGAAAGTATATTGCTTGCAACGCTTTGTGCATCTGCTCAATTCTAGATCACAGAGTCTCTGCTTGCATGCATCAATTCAAAATGTTATTTTTATTACATATTAGAACTATGTCAACAATTACTTGAAAGTCAAAATGAAAGCCAGTCAAACATTGCAGTATAAGCACCTTTCCCAGTATCTCCGAGAGCCCCAGGACCTGAGCGATGAAAACTCCAAGACAAATGTGAATGCTGGGAACAAGGCCCAGGAAGCCTCGCAAACTCTTAGGGGCGATCTCACTGAGGTACATCGGCACCACACTGAGAGAAATCCCTGTAGAAACGAAGAAAGTGCAATTAATACAGTCTGACTGTGCTGGTGCAAAAATGAACAAAACACCAAATATGAACTGAAAAGGCAATTTAAAGCATAAATGACTCAGCTGTTTATAGATTATAGGAAATGTATATACAGCTATTTTTCACCAACAACACAAAGTGCTGCTAATTAAAGACAAATATGTGACAGTAATAATAACAGTAATAAATATTAAGAGGAGATTATTGACATAAATTTTAGTCAACCAGGAACAGTAGGCGTGTCTACCTGAATGTACTCCTGTGATGAAACGCCCAATGATGACCATCTCAGGAATTCTGCACCATCTGCTCAAGCCCATCAGAGCTCCGCCCATAAAAACAAGTGCGGTGGATCTCACCAGAGTCCCTTTCCTGTTTGGACGCAGTAATTCTCGTTGCTCAGCTCTCTAAGTTTGAGTCTGTCACAGGTTAATAGTAATTTATAAACATGCACTCAAAATTCATAAACATGGTCACACTGACCTTCCATATTTGGTAACTAGTCTGCTCACCAGCAGTGCTCCGGTCATTCCACCAATGGCAAAGATTGACACAGTAAGAGAGTACAAGACGGTAAGAAGATGCCCATCCGGAGTCAAGCCATGACTTTCTAATAATGTCTCATTGTAGAAGTCTTTGATGTACTGGTGGAAAACAAGGTCAATTCATTTTCTAAGCAAAAAACGCCCCAAATAAATCAAACCCAGTGTAAAAAGATTGTGTGCAATCAAAAGATAATGTTACCTTTTTTAGATATCTTATTTATTTAGCCTTTTATTTATTATTCTAGCACAGCAGTTTTATAGGAGTCAGAGTTCAAAATATTGTTGTTTTTTTTCTTACACTGAGCTTCGTGCAGCCACGTGCTCTCTGAAACCAGCTCTGAAACCAGCTCCTCTTCCTTTTAAAGCAACTTTCTTCTGACCGACTGCCCCTTGCAAACAGAAAGTTTGAAGAGGAGTGTGGAGCTTCTGTGCTCACATCTAAAGCCATGAGACGACTATAATAAATACATCCAATCTTACCGACATAATAAATAGAGCAGCCTGGATTTGTGAATAGTGCAAATACTAAGTTATTATCAATTACGCCGATCAAACTTTTTGAAACCTTGAACATGTTTAATGTGAGCATCCGTAACTGTAACACTACAGACATGACACAAAAAATGAAACATATAAATGATACGTCACAATATATCCCCAAAAGACCTGAAAAATGAAAATTTGATGTTGTGACTTCAATAATTTAATCAAGTCAAGTCAAATTCAAAGCTGAAAAGAACTCATCGACTGCATGCTTGATGAATCTGACGGTGACGCCTTTCACTCAATAAAGTGTCCAGGATGATCCATTGGATTCAAATTTTAAGAAACATCTGAATTAAATATATAAATTAATATGAATTCAAAAGAATACAGAAAAGGTGCAGGAGAAGACACAATTCAAAAATTCACCCTGTACTATGCCCAATGTTATCGCACATAAAAAGGCCTCAGTGAAAGTCTACAGATCTCATAAAGAAGCATACGACAGTAACAACATAGTAAGTGTCCATAACAAACAAAAAGGGAAATTATTTTTGCTCCTTTGCTTAGTTTCTGTATTGATTTCTTATACAAAGTAATGAAAATTATTGAAACAACAGAAAGTGTCATATGATGTCAGAAAGGTTTCAACTCCTGATCTGCTCCTCCTCAAAAGAGCTGAATAGAATAGAATAGAACTCCTCCACATTACCTTGCTTACTAAAATATTACTTCCTGAATGTTGTCATATGTCTGGAGTGTTCAGGTGTGTGTTAACACAACGACAAAATCTTGGAAGTACAAACCCATTGACCCCAAAGCCAGATGATCCAATGCTCTGAGGAAGTGTTAAAACTTTTAATGTTAAAATTCATGACAGGGCAAAAAACTGAGAAGTAAGGCTTGTTTGGGAGGGTTACCAGGAAAAAGACTCTCCTCTCTTAAAAACACACACACGAAAAAACTCAATCCCTCCAACAGAAGAGTGATTGAAAAAAGAGGGTAACAACAGATCACATTTTATTTGTATCAGTATCAACAACAGCGTCAACAGATTATCAAATGATTGTCGTACCAATTACATTAAATCATAACCAACTGCTAAACGGTCTTGTCTTTCTTTCTACTCTGCTGGCTGATTATTGAAGCACAAGTTTTCTTTAAATTTGATAGTAAACTATTAAAACTAAAATACATTTTACCTGAGATTTATTGAGTTTAAAGTCTGAAAAAAAGGATGTTATGTCGATACTCTGAGACTTGCAGGCTCTGCTTTGGATATCAGTCTGAAATAAGCACTTTGGCTTTCTGATTATGTAATCTAAGTTTTTATATTATTTATTTTCAGACAAGTGGCGACCGTGGCTCAGGGGGTTGGGAAGCGTATCTGTAACCAGAAGGTCGCCGGTTCATTCCCCGGGCTCTTTGTCCTGATCGTTGTGTCCTTGGGCAAGACACTTTACCCTACTGGTGTTGGCCAGCATTTTAGATGGCGCGATATGGCAGCCTCGCTTCTGTCAGTCTGCCCCAGGGCAGCTGTGGCTACAACCGTAGCTTGCCTCCACCAGTGTGTGAATGCGAGAGTGAATGAATAGTGGCATTGTAAAGCGCTTTGGGTGCCTTGAAAAGCGTGATATAAATCCAATCCATTATTATTATTAAGATTTGTCCGTGTCATAATATCCAAAGCACAAAACTATTTTGTCTTATTGAACAGACTGACTACTGTGCCACACTTTGTGAACATTATGACAGCACAAAAAGGACGCTAACGTTACTGAGATCAGGTAAATGTTTGACCTCATCATTTGAGCAGAAAATTTTAGATCACTTGACACTAAGACACTGACCCAAACAAAATGAACTGAACTGCTCCAGCTGTCCCTACTTCTGTGCAGAGCATTCAGGATTTGGGGAAATACCCAGTATTTTTCTGTTTTTCTCAAGAAAAAGATTGATTTTATTCTCACATCTGACTTCCATATCAGACGGGAGTCGGCCTACGCTAGCTAAATTGCTAGCTTAGCCAAAGGACACAAGCAGAAGCAACTAAATTGGCTCCATGTCTTTTGAAATTAGCCGTGCCAGGAAATAGTTATTACATTAATGTGTGCATTTTAGAGCATTAGAGAGATGACTTGTGACTTCATTCCATCCTCCCGTGACCAGTAGCTAAGCTAATCATCTCGTGAATCTATTTTTATAAAAATGAAACTCATGTCAAGCTTCTAAAGCTGGGCATACACTGTCCGATTTTTCAGTCGTGCGACTGTTTTGGGGATCGGCCCGAGTTTTGCCTTAATCGTGTGTCGTGCATCGTGTAGTATACATGAGGTAACAAGAAGCGATTAACACCTCACGACCAGCTCCCGATCATCAATCGTATGGTCGCAAGAAAATCAAACCTGTCTGAAATCCTTTCGGCCCTCGTGAGGGTGTCACCGCAGCCTCTCACACTGCGCACGCGCAAACAGAATTGGAAGTAGAAAAACGGAGCAACACGGCAGTGCAGCGTGTGATCTGGACACAAGCGATGGAGGCACAACTTGTAGAACTTTGGCAAGCTCATCCGAGCATTTCGATGTGGCCTCACAATATTATCACGACCGCACCAACCGTGAAAAGAGTTGGATGGACATTGCTGCTCAACTGCAGCCGCCTGGTCAATGTTTTTCATTAGCAATTTAGCAAAGTTGATGGTGGTGGTGTGTGTGTCAGTGTCTGTTAAAGACAGAGAGGGAGAGACAGATTTTGTGTTATAAGCTTCATGTTATGGACGCACAGTGTGAGCACTCAAGTCGCATCAGAGCATCGGGCCGTATAGTGTGAGACCCTGCATCGTGACCCACGAACTTCTAACCCCTGCGAATCAATCGTAGAGTTTGAGCAGGAGCTGAATAATGCGACTGAAAAAAATCGCACAGTGTATGCCCAGCTTAATGTAGACAGTGCATCTGCAAGCATTTCAACATGTCTAAGCCTCCCTCTAAACCAATTACAGTTTCATTGTGGATATTTAAAAACAATAGCATTAAGAAAACACCCTGGCTGGCTGATTCCTGACCTGGAACTGATGCAGGGTTTTTATAAAAATTTTGTTACTTTAATCCACGACTATAAAACATATTTATAAAGTTTCAACAACAGATACCAAGCTCTAGAAAAACAATGCAAATGAAAGCTGGAGATGAAAGGTTTAGCTGACCCTAAGTCCTGAGCTACGAACATGAGACGATACCCTGAGCCTGCTCACATGCTTCTATGGGGCTGGAACACATGACTGCACCGCGGCAAATTCAACATCCAAGGAACATTATGGATTAAGACCTACAGCGTATCAATGACATGGTGAGGTAGCTACATAAGCCCACATGACCCCCACATGACAATTTATTTGTTCAGTTGGAGTGTTATGTTCAAATGGGTTATTTAACCATTGAGAATCAAATTCCATACAGTGTTTAACCATAAAGGAAACATTTGTGTTCTCACGAAAAGCATGCACGCAAATGAAATCACAAAACCAGCAGTCTTTTTATGTAGACAACGATGAAAATACCTTTGCAGGAGAGTTGACAACGGCCAAGTTATAGCCATAGAGCATAGAGCTGCCAAATGAGGCCAGGAAAGCCACTGCCAGCAGAGGCTTTGTAAGATGCTGTGGAAAACACAAAGCAACACATGAGGGGAAAACCAAGCTGCAAACAGAGTTTACTGTCTCAGGGATGTCTAACTCATTTGACATTGTGGGACACAAACAGTCCACTTTGATGTGAAGTGGACCAGGCCAGTGAAACTCCCCTTTCTGTCAGTGTAAAGCAGTTTAACTATTCGTTCAATTCAATTCAATTTTATTTATACAGCACCAAATCACAACAACTTTGCCTCAAGGGCCTTTATGCTGTAAGGTAAAGATCCTACAATAATACTAGAGAAACCTCCAACAAGTATTTGGTGACACTGGGAAGAAAAAACTCCTTTTATACCTTTTATAACAGGAAGAATTGTCCAGCAGAACCAGTCTAAATCCCAACTGGTCAAGGTTGGGGGTTAGTGAGGGAAACCATTTCAATTTCAACAACTTGTCTGTTTTGGACTTGATGAAGAAATGTTGTAGTGAATGAAAAAGTGTATATGCAAGGAATAAAGGTGTAAAATCACATTAATTACAATTAAAGGTCTGCCATTCTCTCTCTCTCCATATGGCCATTTTTATCTAAGCTGTAAAACCTATTTAAACACAATTAAAAGTCAAAAACTTACGGGCTTTGTCACATTCAGTGTCAGAGTGGAGTCTTTGCTTGACCGATTCTGGCCCCCTGACCTTATGTGTGACACCCCTGATCTAATAGATTTCACTATAACTAAACAAACTGGAAGCGTAAACAATTACCCTAAATGAATATGTTAAAGCAGCAGACTAAATGTTACAGTTTAGTCAATGTGTATTGAAAAATCAGCTAAATGATGTTTAGTTTAAAAAAAGTCACCATGATCAAAGGTACCTGACTTTATTTAGCATTTAAAGCTGTACAACAACAATCAGTCATAACAGATAAGACTCATAGTCTGTTATGACTAAAGGTAGTCAACAGCTCCTCTGAGCCATTGTCACTCCTTTTAAATATAGTTCACAGGAGACATTGCATCCCACTCAGCAACAATTTATTCTGATTAAATATCTCATGTGAAGCTGCTCACATGTCACACCACTTTAAAATGAGACACGAGTAACTTCTCATTTGCCGTTTAAAAACACACACGGGCTACTTTTGCTTTTAAAGTCTCCTTTAGTCTTTTTTAACCTGATTTGTGGTAAATTGAACAATGCTTGGAATGTCATATGACGTGGTGACTGGTGCTATTGTACGAGTTCAGTTTGTCATGATGAGTTTTCCAACGAACCCAGTAAGCATCTTATATGAACCATGACCTTGAACCATGTTGTACAATGAGATTAGGAGGCATTTGCGACACAATTCCAAAATCATGTGACTAATAAAAAGCGATCACTGGAAACGACCATACACCCAGGAATTAGATCTAAATTTTTTCAAAATGCTTACACTTACCGAGGTGAGTTTTTCATTGTTTCCCTGTAACAGTTCTTCCGCCATTTAAGTCATAAATGATTATTCCCCTTGTGTGAGTTTCTTCGTCATCTGCAAAACTTTTCAAAACTCTTTTCACTGCATCCCCATTTGTAGAGTTTGAGCCGTGATCGTGTACCGGAGAGGAGGCGTGTCGTGTTGATGGGCGGAATTTCCACAGTCGTTAAACCGCCTGCAAAGCAGGCCCATCCCACACATTTGATCGTTTCCCTTTCCCCAGCAAAGATCACGAGTGTCATCCTACACATCAGAGTGATTAGAATAATCTACTTTAAAAAACTTTTTTTTAATAATTTGTCAGTTAACATGATTACACAAAACCTTAAAAACCTTAAATTTGGTGGAAGAAATTAATATACAGTTTTAAGATTTTATTTTTCCTTATACTCCTGGAGGTCTGTTGTATAAATCTAACCTTGACTTGATTTTAAAGTTGCACTGAACTTTGCCTTTGTTCCTGTTTAAATTCGTTTATCTTGTAAGTTTCATCTCCCCAACGCTCACATGAGTGTAGCAGAGCTCCTCCCTTTTCCAGCTAATTACAAGTGATTTTAAACAATCCAGTCATTGAAGCCTAAAGCACTTGCTAGTCAAATGGTAGCTGCATGATTTTACAGAAATCTATAAGTGCAGCTTTTCACTTCTGGTTAAGTAAGACGCTTTCAAAGCTGACATCCTTATAAGTTTAACTATGTTATGTTTTATTGCTTTATGGTAAAAAATAAATGTTGCTTTCTGTAACCTCCTTTTATGGAAATCATTTGAAAAGAATTTAAGATTAAATTTGGATTTTTCTCTTACCTTTACTGATTAATTAAAGTACTTGGAGTAAGACTTGCATTTTTTGCTTCCCTTTTGGCTTTTAATTCGAAATGTTCTATAACATAGGTGTCAAACTCTGGCCCGTGGCCCAAATTTGGCCCACAGCCTAATTACATTTGGCCCGTGAAGCCATACCAAATTATTAATAGAGCTGGCCTACTGGTATATACAGCTAATATATACATTGTTTAGTATTAAGCTTTGCTTGTTCCATATTCAGTTTTTCAGCAAAACTTGTTTGAGTCCATAAGAAGAGATTCATTCTTAAATCTGGAGGAAGTTTTTTTTTCAATAAATATTAATGTTAGCCCGCGACTTTGTTCCAGTTTTGAATTTTGGCCCACTGTGTATTTGAGTTTGACACCCCTGTTCTATAAGAATAATTATTCTACTCAGAAACGACAAGCACAAAACCTACATTTCCAGGTGTAGACATCATTTTTTTCATCTGCTCACAGTTTTGTCCTCTACACAACATGCAAATAAATGCAATGTCAGTTAATGTTCACCAAAGTGATATGCTCGGCATCAGATCTTCACCTGACTGTCATGGATGAAGACCTGTTTGGTTGCCTTTTAATCACCTTTAGTCACAGTAGCATCTGCTTTACATATGATTCTTGAAATGTCTATAACAGGGGTGTCCAACTCCAGGCCTCAAGGGCCGGTGTCCTGCAGGTTTTAGATGTGTCCTTGATCCAACGCAGCTGATTTAAATGGCTAAATTACCTCCTCAACATGTCTTGAATTTCTCCAGAGGCCTGGTAGTGAACTAATCATTTGATTCAGCTGTGTTGACGCAGGGTGATATCTAAAACCTGCAGGACACTGGCCCTTGAGACCAGTAGTTGGAGACCCCTGATCTATGGTGATTTCAAGATGAGATAATGGAGTTCCTTGCAAAAATGCAAAAGCCTTGAGCCACCTCTCATTTTTTAAAACACATTTTCTAGTTCTAATTTAGTAAAAACATACCTGTGTAGAAGGACACACAACGTTACTGCAACATTATCAAAGCAGTGTGGGATCATCTTGATAAAGAACAGAAAAAAGGGCAGCCAACATCTAAGGTGCAGCTTTGGATGTCCTTCAAGAAGTTGGAGAGCTACTCCTGGAGACTACTTAATGAAATGACATTTTCAAGTTTGTTGTAAGCACAGAACAGTTTAATTGTGTTTAGAAACTAAAAGCTGAGAAGACAAGAAGAAATCAAACACAAAATATGTAAAACACAGCTAAATCACATGAAGTATATTATGCACCGTGAGAAGTTTTAATGAAATAATAATAATACAGGGATATGTGAGATGAAGTGGAGAATTTAGTCAGCAATGGACTACACAAAGTGGCACAAGATTTTATTTTATTTTTTCATGGGGAGGGGGTGATGGCGACTTCACCTCCCTTACACCCCTTTGCTACCTCCATCAGATTTCTCCCTGCTGATATTTCCTGGTATGATATAGTATATTCCCTACATAGATTCCTCCAGTACACAACCAATGACCCTTTAAACATATGCTCCTAACTTTAAACCAACGAGCCAAGTTGAGACCATCATGCAGGTCAAATGACTTGTGTCATATGACTTCTAGCGCTGTGAAATTTATGCGGCATCATGCTGTTTTTGTGTATAAAATCAATTAGGCTGGGAACAGGGACATAACTCACTGGGCTGACACCATAAAAGAAGAAAAGAACAAATGTGTAATGAAATGAAATATTATGAGGAGGTGTGTGCTGACACTAAAAAACACGCGGTAAGACGTTTACTACGCAACACAAACTTGATATTTGGCATACATGTTCACACATATACATATACATTTGTATACACCAAATTAATAATGACTGTGAAGCATAATTGTAGCTTTTTTTGGTCTTTTTGTACAGTCTGACTTTTAATTATGCCATGTGTAAAACATTTGTGGGATTAGAACACAAACGCAAGTGTCTGAGCTCTTGTCTTTTCTCATCCATCCATCCTTTTCCACTAATTCAATCCAAGGTTACAAGGGGCTGGAACCTATCCCAGCTGAGAGAGGGGACAGGCCATAGACACCCTGTACAGGTCACCAATCTGTAGCAGAGCTCCTCCATTTTCCAGTCACGTTTCAAGTGTCCCTTACCAGCTCTTGTTCCCCTCCAGTTCCACAAAATTAATAGATAATTAAATAAATTTGTAATACCTTTTTTCATCATGAGAACAGAAAAAACTATTGCAAAAACAATTGAGGGTCTATAAAGGCAAACATTTGATTTAATTCACAAGATAATTAGATTCAGTTTGAGTTTTTGGACACTTGTGAATAGTGCAAATAAGTTTAGATAGTTTGTTGTAGTCAGTCATGGCAAACCCTGCCATGTAAAAGGTAATTAGCTGACCTAATAGTTAATTAAAATATTGATTAGTGTAGCTTTAAATGTTTGCTGGTGATCCTGGTCAGGTGACTGCAGCAAAGGAGCTACAGAGTAAGGAAAGTCACAGCTGCAGTGTTTTTATTTCTTTGTATATAAGTTAACTTACAAGAGCCTCTGGCCTGTAGTAATTCATCAAAATGAAGTCCTAAATGCATCAAAACACATATTATAGAGCAACATTAGTCGGTCTGTTGTGTTTGTGTTATAAAGAGCAACACTTGATTACAGTAAACGATGAACAAATCTTTGCTTTTATTATAAGTAAATTTGGAGACTGAGGTCTGTGTCTCTTGATGGGTCTTGATGAATATCAGGCCTGTTCTCATTTGTTGCTCACTGGGCTTCTTGGATCAAGGTCAAGAGTGCACATTGAGGAACACGGACAAAATGTGAGACTCTAATCGGAGTTCACGTGTTCATCTTTTCACGTTGTTTAGGCTCATGTGACTTTATGCTGGTCATTTTTCTACTTAGGATAAGAACAAGTGGAATAATTCATTTATCTTCCATCAAAAGTGAAACCACAGCATCATATCGCAAAGACATTTTTTTCTCAATTTATTGCGATTCTCACCATCTGATTGTGTCTGCTCATTAACACAATGATTAGGAGAAAAACCAGATAGAGACTCAGATGCTGACAAATAAAAAGCAGTGAAAAGAAATTAACATCTCCCTTACATAATTTACAATAGGGACATTTCATGATCATAATCAGGATGCGGAACTACATGATTTAATTTCCTCCCAGCAGTGAATAAGATGTCATTTGATAAATTACCCATCAATAGCAGACAGTAGGGATGCTGTGCAGGGAAATGCAGCGTGTGCGTGTGCCTGTGTGTGCCTCTGCGTGTGCTTGTGAGTGAGTTTCGTGTGAACGTGCACAGCCATGTTGTCACGATGAAGATGCTCAGTGTGTGTGTGTTTGTATGCGTTTGTGTGTGTTGCGGGAAGCTCGGAATAACCTCACATTAGCAGCCCATTATTTCAATAAACCTCCTCTTGCATCCAGTTGACAGATCATCTGCCTAGAAAAGCAGATATTGTGGCCTTTAATCAGTCAGCCCCCTCTGAGCCTCCGTAGTCTCTTGTGCAGTATTTAAATTCCTCATTTACTCTGTTGCAGGCGGGACGTGCCTGTCCCCCATTGTTCACTCTGAATAAACTGAGAAGCTGATCGTGTTAAGTGTGGCCATGATTGATGGCTGCTGATGAAATCTAATATACTCGCCCCATGCCATCGTTTAGCAGAAATAGGATTAGAGAAAAAGACTCCTACACCAGCTGATAAAAGGTGGAAATGTACTTAATGCACTTAATGCTTTTTCAGATTTTTAAAATTGAAGAGTTCTGGCAGTGGTCGAGTAACTCCAAGAGGAGTCTGGGACATTAACTGTTGACTGATGGCTGTGGGTTGTGGGGTGTGTGATGAAACTGAGTTAGTGAAATGAAGTGTGAGCGTGAGTGAGGTCAGGAGGCACGGATTATAAATCTAAAAACCATAAAGCAGAGTGACTGTCATCAGTCGTGTCACGATAATTATTTTCACGATTGTTATCACAGCTATTAAGCCTCCTTGTGTTCGTGGAAAGGTCAGTACACTGCAGTGGCAAATGGCACATGACTCTGTGATATAGCTGCTTTAATGTGTTGATGAAATTTTAAGAGATGAGAGCGGAAGTGAGATTTTAGTGACCCCTTGTGGGGTGTGAGCTCCAGTTCATTATGGAGCGATTATCTTTATGAAAAAAGAAACTATAGTCTGTGTACTCTGTGTTAGACGGATTTTTCTTCTGGAAATATAAGTATTTCTAGCTAAAGAACACACAAACACACTGGTATTTAGATAG